CTGCTCGGGGGAGAGAGAACTGCCCCGACCCACCCACTTGGCACACAGAGCCCTCTGCTCGGGGGAGAGAGAACTGCCCCGACCCACCCACTTGGCACACAGAGCCCTCTGCTCGGGGGAGAGAGAAGTGCGCTGACCCACCCACTTGGCACACAGAGCCCTCTGCCCGGGAGAGAGAACTGCCCCGACCCCCCACCTGGCACACAGAGCCCTCTGCTCGGGAGAGAGAAGTGCGCTGACCCACCCACTTGGCACACAGAGCCCTCTGCCCGGGAGAGAGAACTGCCCCGACCCATCCACCTGGCACACAGAGCCCTCTGCTCGGGGGAAAATGCCCCTACTTTGCCTGACCAAAGTATCTCTGGGTCGCCACCCAGCCCCCCTGGGGATGCCCTGGCCAGAGATACAGAGCTGGCTGTGTAAGAAGGGGCCCCAGTGCAGGGGTGTTTCAGGGCCTCTCGGGGGACTGGGGATGGCAAGGGCAGAGCAGGGAGTAGGCATCAGCATTCCTACTCCTGGCTATTCCTTGGCTGCTGCAGGACGTAGTGGGGCCCTGAGGGGGATGGACTGGCCCCAGCAGCTCAGAGTAGAGCAGGCCCAAGCCGCCACCATCTGTCCCTGCGCCAGGCTCTGCAGCAGCACAGGGATGACTTGGGCCTGTATTTCCCTTCTCTGCTCCCATCCTTCCACTCAGCAGCTCACATAGACAGGATGGCCCCTCCCAGACCTCAGTGCTCCCAGCCCTGTGTTACCTGTTCAGCTCAGGGATGCCTCCCCAGCCCTACCCCTGGCATCTGGCCATCCCCTGGGAACTCAGTGGGGCTACTCCAGCCCAGCTCCATTCTGGGGCCCTGAGAGCACATGTGGGGGGAGGTGCGGGGAGAGGAGGCTGGTCTGGTCTTTCCTTTGAGTCCTGGAGCTGGACCCAGCAGGGTGGCTGCTCTCCAAACCACTGGGCTCCAACCAATGTTTCTCCCAGAGATCCTCCTCCTGTGTTTGCTGCTGCTGCTGCTGTGATTTCTACCAAAACAATAAAGGAATTGGGGTGTGAGCGTGCTTCCTTTGGAGCGACACCCCAGGGTGCACAAGTAGCACCCAGATGTCTGCGGCAGCAGTTCATTGTGTTTAACGAGGGGGTGTTTAAATGCATGAGGTACTGGGGGTGCTGTGGGGTAGGGAGAGCTTGTATGGGAGGGACGGACTCCACTTTAGCCAGAGAGAACCAGGCTCCTGGCACAGAAAATGACTGTGGTCTGGGGTTTTGTCAGCCAGGAGCTGGAGGAAAGGCAGTTGACACTGAGGAGCACTCAGCTCACACCAGCACGTCACACAGGGATGTCGACAACCCACATATAAACCAGCCCAAGTTCACTTCAGGACAAGGGTTATGGAAGCAATGTCTTGACCCCTTGCCCGGCTGCATTGTGGAACGGCTGGTTCTGGAGTGCACGTAAGAGGCTTCGCTCAACGTCATCCTGAGGCACAGCAAGGAACCGGTTCAAGAAGTTACTAGGATTGACTCACTAAGCAACAGTGATCTCATTAGAATTCAGTTCAGTATCCTTAGCGGTAGGGTGACCATGCATCTCATTTGGGCTGAGAAAGGTCCCTTTTCTAAGCCTTGTTCCGGCCAGCCTGACTTTTTTGGCAAAAGTGGGCATTTGTCCCATTTGCTCTTGGCAACTGGTCAACATCAGTTGGCAAGAGCAAATGGGACAAATGGCCACTTTTGCCAGAAAAATGGGGCATGCACCCCTAGTCGGGTGCAGAGGAACATGCGGGGGTAAGCGGTGACACCAGCCCTGCCTAGGGGAGGGGAAACAGAACTCCAGCAAGTAGCGACACCAGCCACATGGGGGGCAGGCAGGGTTCAGGCAGCAGCCACGTGGGGGCAGACAGGATTCGGGCAACAGCCACGTGGGGGGCAGACAGGAGTCGGGCGAGGAGCGACACCAGCCCCATGCAGGGAGCAGGCTGGGCTCCAACGAGAGCCCTGTGCGGGGCCAGGCCCACGTTTTCCCTTTGGGAAAGATGCTCACACTGCATAGGAGAGGGATTGTTTCAAAAACTAGCCCGGTGACAGTGAATTTTGGAAAGGGACATTTCATTCACTTAGGAAGCTTGTCTAAGGGGCCTAGAGTGAAAAGGGAGGTGCTAACATCCTTCCAGGCAGCAGGGAGGTCCCAGGAGGCCTGGCTAGTGACAGGGACGCCAGCAGGAAAGTAAGAAGTGGGTAACTGTAGCTTAGCCAAACCAAATGCCTCCTTCTAGAAATGGAAACTGCCCACACAAGGGTAACAAAGAGGGCACAGATCATGGCAGGAAACAGCCCAGGTGGAAATTGGGAGGGCAAAGAGCCAACAGGAAGAGCAAAGAATCCCTGGGTTCAGTGTGCCCTGGGCAGGGGGCCAGCAAACTGGCTGGGCCATGGGAGGTCGGCGCAGCAGGGGAGAAGGGCAGCCCCCAGGAGCTGAATGGATCTTTGCACCAGTCTTCACCGTAAAGGATGCTGGCCCTGGGCGGGTGCTCCAGGACACTGCGGACCAGCAAGCCCATCAGCACCAGGCAGTCAGGTGAAACAAGCAGAGGGGTACAGTGGGACCAAACTAACACAGCTTCTGCAAGGGAAATGGAGTCTCTCCGCCCAGTAGAGCTCATGGAACGTGTCGGCAAACTAGGGAATAAAGGAGAACTGGTGGACATCATTAGCTACCTGCCTCTTCTGCCTCCCCCCTCCTGTGAGCAATGGATCAGTCTGCCCCTGCCCCCTGTGAGCAATAGGTCAGTTTCTTCCTCATCCCACGCCCTTCCTGTGAGCAATGGGGTGAGTCTGACCCCTCCTCCCCCTGTGAGCAATGGGTCAGTTTGCTCCCTTCTCCCCCTCCCGTTTGTGAGCAATGGGTCAGTCGGACCCTCCTCCTCCTCCCCTCCTGTGAGCAATGGGTCAGGCTACTCCCTACTTCCCCTTTGTCACGGAGTCCCCGGGCGATGCTCTGGAACTGCTCCCCACAAAGCTAGTCAGGACTTTGGGGAGCCTCCTCTCCCATGGAGCAGACCGTCTTCAGGGCAAGATGCTCACATGGCTTCACCTCCTGGGTCTGACCTTGGAGCATTCAGCATGTGCCCCTCCGTGTGCCCCAGCGAGTCCGCCCAGGTGGGGTCCTGGGGAAGCCAGAGGACCTGCATGCACCCCCACTTTGCAGTCAGACGTGACTCTTGAGCCAGCCAGTAAAACAGAGGTTTATTAGATGACAGGAACACGGTCTAAAACAGAGCTTGTAGGTCCAGAGAACCAGATCCCTCATCCGGGTCCATTCTGGGGTCCTGTGAGCCAGACACCCCTATCTGCCCTCACTCCTAGTCCCCAGCCAGCTCCAAACTGAAACCCCCTCCAGCCCCTCCTTTCTGGCCTCTTTGTCTTCCACCCCATCCCACCCCCAACCAGGAGGTCACCTGACCTCTTTGTTATCCCACACCTTTAGCATCCCCTTGCAGGGGGGAAGGGCCTGGCCATTAGTTGCTAGGCGACAGAGGGTTGGCCAGAAACTGAGGCACCCACACAGTATTCAGAGGGAACATTAAGAACAGTCCCACTTCGTCACACCCTTCCCTCCTGTGAGCAATTGGTCAGGCTACTCCCTACTCCTCCTCCACCCTGCCCCTTAAGCCATGGGGCAGGCTGCCCCTCCTGATGTGGGCTCTGTGGGGGGTTGTGAATGCTGGACTCGATGGGGCTGGTGGTTGGCAAACCCACAGTGCCTACAGCAGAGCCAGCAACCACCTCTTCCTGACCTATACCAGCCCCAAGGCTGGCTCTGCCCCACAGAGCAACCTCACCCCATGTGGGATGTGGGGGTGACCCTTGCCCCAGTGCCACCACCCCCGGCAGGGGCTCAGCACTGAGACCTCCCCTCTGGGTCTCAGCAGGGTCCGGAACAATCTGTATAGTGGGAGTGCTGAGAACCATTGACCCAAACTATAAACCCTGCATATGATGGAAACCACTTTGAGCCGGGGGTGCGGCAGCTCCCCCAGGACCCCTAGTTCCAGCACCCCTGGGTCTCTGCCCTCCCACGAACCCCCCTTCTTTCCTCTTCCTCCCCCAACCCCTGCCTCCCCTGTGACTGCCCTCACTCTCCGACCCCTTCCTCCCAACTCGCCAACCCCCAAGTCCTGCCCCCCATCACTGGGCACAGATCCTGTCTGTGAGGGAGCTGGGGATACTGAGCTCGCTGTTAAGGGCTTTGAGAGCAGAGATAGAATGGGCTAGCTGAGAGCTGGACCGTATTAGTATTAGCTGTGTACCGAACCTCTCCCCAACCTCTTCTCCCCATGCCACCCCCATCTGACCCTGGGCCCCTCTCCTCCTATGTGCCCATGGCCCTCTCCTCCTCCTGTGTGCCCCCAGCCCTCTCTTTTCTCTACCCCTGATCTGCCCCTGCCCTCTCTCTCTCTTTTCCCCCGCCCGCCTGCCCCTGGCCCTCTCTGGTCTCCTCCCTGTCTGCCCCCTGCCCTCTCTCTTTTCTCCCGTCATCTTCCACCGGACCTCTCTCCCCTCCTCCATCTGCCCCCAGCCCTCTCTCTTCTCCCCACATGTGCCCCTGGCCCTCTCTCATCTCCCACTCTCTGCCCCCAGCCCTCATTCTTCTCCCCCACCCGCCTGTCCCTGGGCCTCTCTCTTCTCCCACGCCCCCATCTGCCACCGGACCTCTCTCTTTTCCCCTGCGCGCCTGCTCCCAGCCCTCTCTGGTCTTCTCTCTGTCTGCCCCCAGCCCTCTCTATCCTCCCCCCATCTTCTGCCGGCCCTCTCTCTGCTGCTGGGGGCAGCACGCAGAGCCCAATTGCCGCCACTATGCCTACGAGCTGGAGGGACATGTTGCCGCTTCCTGGGAGCCACCTGGGGTGAGCGCCTCCTGGAGCCCGCACCCCAAACCCCCTCCTGTGCCTCAGCTCCCAGCCCTGAGC